TGTCTGCAGGACAAAAAAAAAAAAAAAAAAAAAAAAAAAGCTATCATTTAAAATATAGAGACAGCGTTTATTTGCAATACTTTCAACTCAAAATCAAGAAAGGTTTCTACTCAGTTTACTCCACAGTGCTGAAGGTTTTTCAGTCATTTGGCTCACTGTTTACACATACCCGGGATCCTGGCTAAGATAAGAAAACTCCAAGGTCTAGGAAAGCTTCCTATGGAATTAGATGATTACTGATCCCTGAACTAAATTCCTTGTGTTTATCTAGGCTCCAGGCTTTAAAAGGTAATCAAGAGCTTCTGCCTTGAACCATGGGCTCACAAGGACCCGATCTTCTCATTAAAGGGAAGGCAGTGGTTATTTCTGGAGCTTTGTGTAATTGAGGCCTGATAACAAAGGTTAATTTTTACCAAGTGAAACTGGTTGGGTTTTCTTGACATTAAACTTGAAGCCCAAGAGATAATGGTGGGAAGCCCAAGAAATAATGGTGTGTATCTTGACTGCTTTCAGGAATAAGGTCAGCCTCCTGGGGAAGTCTGATTTCCTTCTCGATCCTCCTTGATTTTTTGCTCCCTCTGTTGAATCTGACAGTACAATCCATGTGTCTCAGAGTAATGACAGTCTGTAAGTGCCAGGAAGATGGGGAGATAGGTAGAAAGTGGCCTTGTTTGAGAGCCTTGGGAGATTTTTCTTTTCTTTTTTATTTTTCCTTTTTGAGACAGTTCTTCACTATGCAGTTCAGGTTGGCCTTGAACTTACTTTGTAGCCCTGGCTGGCCTTAAACTTGCAGCAATCCTCCTGCTTCAGCTTCCTGAGTGCTGAGATAAATGGGTAAATTTACCACTGCTAAACACAAAACAGCCCTCAACAAGGGGAGATTAAGAAGTTGTTTCAGGGGCTGGGGGTTTAGCTCAGTAATGTAAGTGCCTGCTTGGCAAACACGAAGTTGTGAGTTCAGTCCCTGGCACCAAAAAAAAAAGTTGTTTTTTGTAAGAGGGAACTGACATCCTAGAGGTTTTAGTGCTGAGTAATCCACCTACAAGGGTCTCTGGTTGTATTTATAGAAGCTTTCCTCTTCCCAGTTTGCTTCTTGGTGTACTAGTTTTCCAGGATGGAGTCATTGGGCAGATTCCTAGAAATGCAGGTTTTCAAACTAGCGCCAAAGATGACCTATTTATTTTTTAAAGTTCTCTTATGCAACATGGTTTTAGTTTTGAATGTGGCAAGGGAACAGGGTATGGGAACTGCCTCGCTTCTCATTCCTGGGGCTGCCATAGTAGCTCTGGGTGGAGGTATTTTTCCTTAGGACTCTGGCTGCTCGTGGCTTTCACAGCTATTTGCTTTGGCATCTGAATGAGGAGAGAATGAAGGCTGTTCTGGCCTGCTCCATGGAACTGTTGACTGGCTTTATTGGTTGGATTCCCCAGGAAGTCACTGAATGTGGAATTCATAAACCAGGCTCACTTGGAAGGAGTTCTTCCTGTTTGGAATCATTTTCTACATAAATTTTAGATTTGCCATGTTCATTCTTCATTCTTCTTTTGAGAAACCATCTTGTCATTAGTACCATCTGAGTTATCAGTACACATCTCCCAGCTGGGCTTTCTTCTGTGTTCTGTTAGGTCCTCTGGTATCCCCTGCCTACCTGGTGTTATTTCGTACCTGTGTCCACCCAAGGGCCCAAACTTGGGATATCCTCTGTATGCAAGGGTATCTCTGATCTCTTCCCTAGAATACATCTTTACTCTTGCTACCCAGGTTAGTACACTATTATCCAAGTGGGCTATCTATGCAGACTTTGTTCCCTTAAATAGTATACAACTGTCTGGTAGTGGGACAAAGGAATAAAAAAAGACTAACTGTTCCCTTTTGTATTATTTGGCCTTTTAAAAAACTATGTGCCTGTATAAACTAATTTAAAAAGTGCCCTACCCTTCCTGGTTGCATATATTGTAAAAACTAAGGGATAAAACAAAACAAAAAAGTATTTCACATAGATTTAATGGGGTAACAAAAGTTCATTTAAGTTTGGTAAGTGCCCCCCTCTTCCTCTGAAGGAAGATAAAAATTAAAAAAAAAAAAAACAGTGACAATAGTGAACAAAACCAAATCAAACCTGTCTGGCTAAACTCTAATAATAGTACACTTGCTTCACAGAAGGGGCTCCTAGATCAATATAAAAACTTTACTGCATATTCAGACCAGTGCTATTTACTCAGCTGCTTCTAAATGGGAACAAGCAGACATCAACTATCAAGTTTCTAGTCTGGAAAATCCACAAGGGCCACTGAACACGGACAACGTGGGGACATCCTGCAGACAGTTCATAAAAATAACTTGCCCAACATTTTTGGAAACTGATGCAAGCTATACTTATGGCTCTGTCTGTTTGCTTTCTCCAGCAACAATTGAAAAGATGCCGGTCACCAAGGCTATGATAACTTGGATGCTCCAGGAGACACCGGGACAGCATAAGGCTGCAATTAACTCAATAGCCAATTACACAGGGGAGACAATGCTCCTGAAGACAATTCACATTTAAGATTCTGCTGAGGGACTAAATGGTAAGTGGGTGCTTATCTCAAATCCTGAATGAAGGAATTGATTGAGGGACAAGCAACGTAGTCTTAGATCATTTCACCTGTGTTCACAGTAGAGCAGGGTCCTCACAGTGTCATAGGAATGCATAGACCACCAACCAAAATTCACATTAGTAACCACCCAGAATGTGTTGACCCATTGGGAAATACCTGTTGAGTACCTGTAACATGCTAACATTCCAGGAAATTCAAATACAGTATGCATCAGAGATTTTGATTTTAAGGAGTTTGAAGTTGAATAATGAGGCCATATGTATTAGTACCAAAAGAGAGGTGTAATTACTCTAAACAGAAATAGTCACAAGACTGAGGGAAGCAGGAGAAAGAGATCACTTTCAGTTGAGTGATCAGCAAAGGTACTTATAGGAAAACAATGTGGATTTATTTATTTTTTTATCGGTACCAGGGATAGAACTCACGATCACATACTTGTAAGACAGGCACTTACGTCGCTAAGCCAAATCCCCAGCCCTGTGTATTTTATTTTAAAAAAAGCATACCTTTATTAATGTATAGCTCATACCTAAGCATGTACCTTGACTTTTCACAAACTGAATGTACTAGTTATGTAACTAACACCTAGCTGAGTAGCATATTATTCCAGAAGACAGTGTGTACTTCTTGGGCCCCTTCCACCCACCTGTGGGGAGCAACAGTATTTTCTGGCATGATTTTAGACAGAGATAAAATTATTAGAGGTGGGACCAGCAAGCATAATTAACAGCCAGGAGCCAGCTTTGAAGAAGGGCTGTTAAGTAATTTGCTGGGAACAACTGGAGAACAGGGTTGGATCCATGTTGTAGACCCTTGAATACCAAGTAAAGAAGGATTTTTTTCATGAGCTTCTGAAGGTTTGCTGAACAAAGCAGAACTTCGTGAGACTTTTTGATAATGGTCAGTAACTCAGGGATGATGGGAGAAGTGAGAGACTCTAGGTTTGCAACGGCAGTGATGACGGGCAGTAATGGCCATCTGAAGATATGATAAAGAGGCAACAAGGTGGATGTGATGGTGTATGACTGCAGTCTTAGCACGTGGAAGGCTGAAGCAGGATCACCAAGAGTTACAGGCCAACCTAGGCTACATAGTGAATTCAAAGCCAGCTTCAATCTCATAGCAAGATCTTATCTAAAAAACAAACAAACAAACAAACAAACAAAAAAACAAAAACAAATCTGACAGGACATGATCTTGAAAAAAAAAAGTCTTCCATCCAAGTACTAACCAGGCCCGACCCTGCTTAGCTTCCGAGATCAGAGGAGATCGGGCGCGTTCAGGGTGGTAGAGTCAAAGGAAATATCCTTCCATGGGGGGCTGGGGATTTAGCTCAGTGGCATAAGCGCCTGCCTTGCAAGCAGGCAGTCGTGAGTTCGATCCCCGGTACCGATAAAAATGAAAAAGACAAAAAAAAAAAAAAAAAAAAAAAAAAAAAAATATCCTTCCATGGATTTAATCAAGAAAAAATTTAATAGTTTTCTCAAGTACTCATTACTGACTTTTTGTTAAGGATTAACAGTCTTTGAATGCTATCTCTCCAAAAGACTTCTCAAAATTTTCTTGCAATATTGTAATAAAACACTGAGTTGGTCTAAGGAAACTCTAAAGAAAGCAATTGCCCTTTCAGGACAAAAAAGAATCCTTTGTTAGAAATGTGGACTGTTTGTCTTTTCAAACCGGTGCTTGCTATCATAAACATTTCCCTGGGGAAAACTGACTCCAAGGAAGATTTTTTTGAAGTTGTTACAGTATCAGCAAATTATTGGATGTTGCTCCCCATTCCATCTCTTATCTTTCCCTATTAAATGATTTTCATCGACCCAGATTTATGGGTATAATAAATCAACTGTATATGTTTACTTGTGTTTCTAAAAGAAAATACGTGCACATGTGTATGCATATATATGTATGCATATGTGTAGCAGTATTCATTGTAAAATTTACCTGTAAAGTGTTTCCATAAGAAGAGATATATATAAATAAAAAATATTTATTTGCTTCAGCTAAGTGGCCAACTTTTATTTAATGACGGTCCACCCCATCCCTTTCCCGTCAACGTGGCAAATTTTTCATTCGACAAATAATTTAATACTCCACACGTGCTGTGATTTTACTATAACACCTGTCAAAGCGTGTTCTTAATTTTATGTTCTTCTGTACAATCAGGACCTTGTGTCTCAGAGCCTGTTTCTGGATGTTTTTAAAGCGTGCGACCGTGCGATTTCTGATACTAGGGTTTTGTGTGGTGAAACATCAAGGCAGAAAGGAAGCTGCTTTGGTGTGCGGGTCCGCGTGCAGGTAACCCAGAGTGGTTTCTGGGACCGAAAGAAGGAAGAGAACTTTACTCAGGAGAACACGTGTGTGGGAAGAGGGGGCGGGTCCAGAAAGAGGAAAGCTCACCTAAGCGGGATCTCCGCGTCGGTGCAGATTCTAAGCTCCAGCACCCGGAAAGAGGTTCAGGACACTGGAACCCGGGCAGAGACCTACTTACTCATCGGTCCCCCTGGGAGCTCGCGGCTTCTCCAGTCTGGAGGAAGAGTGTTAGTCAGTTTAAAGGGGAAGTCCCGCCCCCTTCCCGGATTCCGATTGGCCGAAATCGGTTCCACTCTGGCAGAACGGCGCTCCGATTGGCTGCGGTTGGGACACCCTCTGGCGGAGAGCGTCGGCCGCCAGCCCCAGGTGGCAGGTGGGGCGGGCGCTGTGGGCGCCGCCCCCGCGGTCTACTCTTCTGGAACCGGGTCGCGCGCTGGCATACTGCAGACTTGGAGGTTTGTGCGCGGGCCCGGCGCGCCCTCCCTCCCTCCGGGAGCGGGGCTGCTGAGCGCCAGCCATGAAGAGCCTCAAGTCCCGCCTGAGGAGGCAGGACGCGCCGAGCCCTGCATCGTCCACCGCCGCCGCCGCCGCCGCCGCCAGCGCGGTGAGTCCCACGGCCCGGACCTGACCCTCCCTCACGCCGGGGGACCCCGGGACGCCCACCCTCAGCGCTCAGCGGGTTCCCGCCCGAGTCTCCGAGTCTATGTGGCAGGAGCCCCGGAATCTGGGGTTCAGGGGCCCCCGCGCTCCCTGGGATCCCGCCCGCGTCGCCCCGCGCAGACCGTGGACCGAGTCGCTGTCCTGCCAGGCTGCGTGGACGGAGTGCCGTCCGCTGTCACTGCCCCGGGACTCCGAGGCCGGGGGACTTGGCGGGGGTTGGTTGGAAGGACAAAGCCCCGCGCAGTGCTGACCCGGAGGTCGTGGGGTAGGGTGACCGGGTGGCCGCGCACATGTCACCTGCGGGACAGTAGCGTGCGGGACGTCCCTTTTCGCGGGGCGCAGCCCGGCCTCCCTGTGCGGACTCAGGAGCAGCCGGGTGGCCCGGGCCAAGCCCGAGCTGGCAAGAGAACAGAAGTCTTGGGAAACAGCCTGACTGCAGATGTTGGGATTTAGATAATTTGGCAGGTTAGAGGAATGGCAATGGCATCAAAATAATGTGTTATTAAAGTAAATGCCGTTTAAAAAGTGTAGAAGAGTCCAACACAGAGGAGATGAAATGCTCAAATGGCCCAGTTGCCTGTGGGTGGTAATTTAAGGTAGACCTCTATAATTTTACAGAGATTTTAGAAAAAAAGGCTGATGCTCTTTTTATGAGAATAGGAATTAGTCTACATCTGCTTTTTAAAAAAAATATTGGCATACTTTTGACATACGTGATTGGACACTTTAATCATAGGGAATTTGTACCTGTACGTAATTATCTTGATTCGTCTTTTTTCCCATTCCTGTCCCCTCCCTTCAACCCATCGTCTCTGTCTCCTTACGTCTGCTCTTGAGTTAATTCAGATTTTGGCCTTTCTCTCCACTCGACTACTTCTAAGATTATTTCACTTGAACATGAAAGAGATAATGAAGGAACTAGACTTTTAAATTCCCATTTTGTCAGAAGCTGAGGCAGGAGGATCTCTCTGAGTTTCAGGCTAGCCTGGACTATATAATGCGTTCAAGGCCAGTCTGAATTACGTAACTAGGCCCTGCCTCAAAAAGGAAAAAAAAAAAATCCCATTTCAAAAAAATGAAAAGAATGGATTCAAGTGGTATAAAACTTGATGTTTAACAAAGCATGAAGGGATTTTATAAGTTGATGGAAGAAATGATTCATTGTTTCATTTTAAAAGAACAATTGACAGAAATATGCAGTAGCAATAATGCAGTTCACTATAGTTGAAGATTTAAGGTCTCTGTAATGCAGATTTTGTTTTCAGCTTTATAGAGGGCATACTTTTAGATTTATTAGCTATATTTTACCATATCATTTGGTTTGCACTAAGGATTAACATCACATCTGGGGATTTATGTACTTTAATTTTGTTCTGTTTTCTCTTTTAGAAATGCAGAGAGGATATTTAGTTGTTTTTGTATTATCAAAATGTGAGTTTGCATTCTGTGGATTTGGAGCACAAAGTGTAGTCTTTCTCTGAGCACTAACTAAATGAAGCTTTCCATTATTTTCTTAAAATCGGTAAAAATGAAATACATGGTGTAAAAATAGAACCTATTTTCTTAGAAAAGGCAAATAATGGTTCCTAAATACTCTATTAGGATATTGTAAGATTTTTAAGTGAAAGTAAATGATTATTACTAAGCCACAAAGAATGATAAACTCGAGGCTTTTGTAGGTAAATGGAGGCAATTGGCAACCATACTCATAGGTGGAATAAATCAAACTTGCATGTGTAAACACTGAATTGTCTTTAGTGTAAAAAAACTAAAACAATAAATAAGATCCATAAGTTATAATAGATATAGTAAAAGGGAAATTTTATTGTTCGATCCATCTTGCATGCCTGTATCTGGTAGCCTGAGCAGTTACTTTCACAATAACAATATGCAATATAACAACCATTGTTAAATTCCTATCATCTTGTTTTGAAATCCTATATTGCTTGCCATTGTTTTGTTGTTGTTATTTTGCTTTTGTGGTTGTCTTTTAATTATTTGCTTCTTGATTTTTGTTTTTTTTTTCTATTTAAAATAGGAAGTAAATGACTGATACTAATCAAACTGAGTATTGATAGAATGAAATGATGCACAGGAGAATTAGATTCCTCCTGCTTTTCAATTTGTATGTATCACAATCCCTGATTTGGTTATATGGTTATATGTGTGTATATTTAGGATTGGGTCTGCCCTTTTTTTTGTGATTCTGGAGATTGAACCAAGGAGCTTTACACTCAGTTACCTCTCCAGCCTATTTTCTTTTTTCTTTCTTTTTTTTTGGGTACTGGGGATTGAACTTACGACCCAGTGTTTGCCAAGCAGCCACTTACGCCGCTGAGCTAAACCCCTGGCTCCAGCCTATTTTCTGTGTTTTTTTCTTTTTTAAATGAAATTAATTAATTTATTTTTTGAAACAGGGTCTTGCACGTAGTTCAGACTGACTTGCCTAGGCTGGCCTCAAACTGCAATCTTGCTGCTCAGCCTCTTGAGTGCTGGGTTTACAGGCATGTTCCACCAAGCCCTCCCTCTGTTGTTTTCCTGTGTTTTCTTTTTTTTGAGATGGTTTCTAAGTTACTAAATTGCCCAGGCTGCTCTGGAACTTGTGTCCCCCTGCCTCAGCCTTCCGGAGTGCTGAGATTACAGTTGTGTGCCAGCATGCCTGACACACTCTGTCTTTCTTTTTGTCTGTAAATGTTTTGAAGTATATAGCACATGGTTTAATATCTTCAGCCTCCCACATCACCCTCCTCAGAGGCTGCTGGTGTCAGTGGCTGTCTGTATATTTCTCCATACATACAATTTGCCTGTTATAGCATTGGAAACACTGTATTTGCTGTTTCATGTATTTTTCTTTTTTTTAAAAACTGTTTATTAGGCCCATTTAGAACTTCCCCATTCAAGCCTTTGGTATGATGTACAGTACTGTGATAGTAAGTAAATTTACACATACTTGAGGTGTATGTATACATGGATATATCTGATCAGTCCCTAAAAGTGAATTCCTGGGTTATAGGATACATGCGTTTGTACTTTGGATCTTTTTTGAAATGAGGTCTCACTATGCAGTAAGCTCACTTTGTGGCCCATGCTGGTCTCGAACTCACAATGATCTTCCCACTCAGCCTCCCGAGTGCTGGGATTACAGGCATGAGCCACCACTCCTGGCAGTACTTTGGATCCTGTTAGATATCTTTAAATGCAAATATCTTAAATGCAGTAGGCAATAAGCAAATGTATCAGTAAAAAATTTCCCAGCTTTTATTGTTATAATTTTTTGAGCTTTGCTAGCCTAATAGGTAAAATATGATATCTCAAAATACTGTAACTTTGTATTTCCCTTATTATGAGTGAAGTTGAGCATGTGTTTTTATAAGTGTTTTGCATTTTTTCTGTGGTTTATCCTGTTGTCCTATTGTATTATTTTTTCTTATGTGCCAGTATGTACTTTGTATCAGATAACCTTTTAATATGAATAACTAGGACTCATTCTTTAATATTTACCATGATTTTTTACTGTTAATATTTGCTTGGCAAAAATACTTGTTTTAATGCAATTAAATTTATATCTTGTTGCTTTTAGATATATGTTATGTGTTGGCCTTTTGTGTGTGTTTGTGTGTGTGTGTATGTGTGTGTGTGTGTGTGTGTGTTGTGTTTTGTTTTTTTGTCTTGGCCTTTTATTCGTCAATATTCAACAGTTTGTTCCAGGGCTTTTTGTTTATTTTTTTACGTATAAGGTTTTGATACATGTAGAATTTATTCTGGTGTAAGATAAGAGAATATATCTTGCATCTTTTTTCTTTTTTCCTTTCCTGAATCTAACTTGAATCTTAAAATATTCATTTACTTATTTATGGAAATAATCACAGTTTGCTCTGCACTACTTTGGGAACAAATTTTAAAATGTTTATATCATAGTTTTCTTTGTGTGTTTGAGCTTATTATCTGAAGGAGCTGTGTGGGCAATAGCCTGAAGTATGTGAGGTATGTAAATACTTTATGACATAGTATATGTTGTATAGCATCTTACTGTAACATGCCAAATTATATGTATATATAGATTATGTGAGAAAAAGTAATTTAAAATATTTTGAATAGTTTCATTGTTACACATATGCTAGTGAGTTTAGAGTTCACTAAATGTGGGTGTGTTAATATATATGTACATATACATAAATGTAGTTCACAATGATACATTGAAAGTAATACAGGTGAGGATTAGTCCATTACTAGTCAAACCTGAAGATAACCACACATGTTAATCATCAGCTAGAATATTTTGGTTACAGCTGATTTTAATTACCCAGTAATTTGGAGCTTCAGGTTTTTAAAATGATAGTTAAATAACTGTAAATACTGTGTTAGATCTGTCAAGAATATGTACAAATATATGTCCAGTGAGAATAGACTTGTTTCTTTTTTACCTAGTAGTTAACACTAGGAAATTTGAGTAATAAAATTAAAGGACTATATTTTGAGAACCACTAGAGGTACTACAAGCAAATATTGTTAGCATATATTTTGGAGGGGAGGTTCTACTTTAAATTGTGCTTTTACTCAACATTT